AGTTACTGTGAGGAAGAGCGCAGAACCGCACTAGAACAGAGACTTTACAGAAGAGGAGACGAGGAAGATCTCAGTTACTGTGAGGAAGAGCGCAGAACCGCACTAGAACAGAGACTCTACAGAAGAGGAGACGAGGAAGATCTCAGTTACTGTGAGGAAGAGCGCAGAACCGCACTAGAACAGAGACTCTACAGAGGAGGACACGAGGAAGATCTCAGTTAATGTGAGGAAGAGCGCAGAACCGCACTAGAACAGAGACTCTACAGAAGAGGAGAAGAGGAAGATCTCAGTTACTGTGAGGAAGAGCGCAGAACCTCACTAGAACAGAGACTCTACGGAAGAGGAGACGAGGAAGATCTCAGTTAGTGTGAGGAAGAGCGCAGAACCTCACTAGAACAGAGACTCTACGGAAGAGGAGACGAGGAAGATCTCAGTTACTGTGAGGAAGAGCGCAGAACCGCACTAGAACAGAGACTCTACGGAAGAGGAGACGAGGAAGATCTCAGTTACTGTGAGGAAGAGCGCAGAACCGCACTAGAACAGAGACTCTACAGAAGAGGAGACGAGGAAGATCTCAGTTAGTGTGAGGAAGAGCGCAGAACCGCACTAGAACAGAGACTCTACAGAAGAGGAGACGAGGAAGATCTCAGTTAGTGTGAGGAAGAGCGCAGAACCGCACTAGAACAGAGACTCTACAGAAGAGGAGACGAGGAAGATCTCAGTTACTGTGAGGAAGAGCGCAGAACCGCACTAGAACAGAGACTCTACAGAAGAGGAGACGAGGAAGATCTCAGTTAGTGTGAGGAAGAGCGCAGAACCGCACTAGAACAGAGACTCTACAGAAGAGGAGACGAGGAAGATCTCAGTTACTGTGAGGAAGAGCGCAGAACCGCACTAGAACAGAGACTCTACAGAAGAGGAGACGAGGAAGATCTCAGTTACTGTGAGGAAGAGCGCAGAACCGCACTAGAACAGAGACTCTACAGAAGAGGAGACGAGGAAGATCTCAGTTACTGTGAGGAAGAGCGCAGAACCGCACTAGAACAGAGACTCTACAGAAGAGGAGACGAGGAAGATCTCAGTTAGTGTGAGGAAGAGCGCAGAACCGCACTAGAACAGAGACTCTACAGGAGAACAGCTGATAAAACAAACATTTACTGCCACCGCTATGGTGAGTGAATTAGCAGTTAGCCAACATGGGACCCCCGAGTACTAGGGGGGAATTTGCTTTCTATTAGGATCTACAGGAAACTAGTAAACCATGAAATGCTTAGAATCCTTTACATTGTGATATCAACTCATTACAAAGGCCAATACACATTACAACACTATCAGGAACCAACAGAAACACTGCCTGGTTTCTCTGTTTTTTTCAGCAGGGAAGAGAGAAAAAGAGAACTTCACCATGTTAGGCCTGATGCTTCGTGATGCTCTGTGGAATCCCACTTTTGTCTTTCTTGCTTGTTCTCTCAGCCACTGCTCACATTTTACCTCCAGTTCCACCTCCATGTGATTCAGCAATGGTGAGGATTCACACTTTAAATCCAACACTGCCCCCTGGTGGATGAAAAGAGTCAATACTAGCTGTTACAGTGACTGTTATTCCTGAATTCAACAGCAGGTGGCGCGGATGGGCGGTGGCTATGAGTTATGGGGGAGAACCTCCCTCAGACCCTCAGGGGGCTTCTCATATAACAAGATGCTGGGATGCTGGTACAGAGAGCATCTCTCACATCTGTTCTGAAGTAATACAAGCCACATTAAACTGGACACAGTCGTGAATTGTTAATCACTGCATATAATTTAGGGATTAAAGATGGTTAAGATGTAATCAGAGTGGTTCAGAGTGGTTCAGAGTGGTTTGGTGTGAAACACTCCGTTCTAGATAAACTTACCGAGTCAGAACTGTTCACAGTGGTGGTGATAGGAACCAGACGTCCACCTCTAAAAGCTCCCTCACAGAAAGTTCCTACATGAAATGGTTATGAATTCACTGCCTGATGACTGAGACACTGTTTTATGGTAGTTTAGAGAACTTAAACTCCATTCATGGTGGAGGGATACATGCAGGGCGCTGTGAGGCAAAATAGTCCCCAAAGAAAACTTATTATTTCAGATTTCCCACTATTTTCCATCATCAACATTCCATATAAACTCAGAAGACTCGTGTAGGTTCACTGGTGGTTCTGGATAGTAAATAAAATGTCTATATCTGTGTTGTAGTCATGGCGACCCCTGGTTCCTATCACCACCACTGTAAAGACATCTGAACCATTTCACACCAAACCACTCTGAATCCCTCTGATTACATCTCACACATTCAATTATGGAGGAATTTTGAAAAATCGGTGGAATTGCCCTTAAATTATTGAAATAAACCAGACGTGCTAAATTAGCCGTTCTGGGTTATTTTGATGTGACGTGACTGATTTGACAGGCCAGTAGAATTTTAATAAAAGCCGTATTGAAATTCCACGCACTACATAAAGCTGATTGGTGACGCCCCTCGCGCCGTCAGCCAATCACAGGTGTCCATTTCGCATCTTCCGCTGCACCGTTAACAGTGACGCGGAGGAGCAGGCCGTTAGGCGCGGCAGCACGGTTACCATAGAGATCCGCATATCCGCTCTCCGTTGTTTTGCCTGATCTGTAACCAGTAGTTTCACTGAATAAACCAGCAGAATGTGGATCCGGATTGATACCAGATCAGGCAAAATCGAGGCGCGCGTATCGGAAAGGCAGGAGCGCTGATCTGGAGTCAGCTTCTGTCACTGTGGTCGCAATAAACAGGGAGGAGTCTGATCTGAGATCAGCCCTCGGTTCTCATCAATCTTTTCCCACCCATATTCCGACAAACCCCGCCCCTCCGGCGTTACGATTGGCCAGTTGTGCGCATGACGCTGAGAGCCCCGCTTTCCCGTCCGTATTCGTCAGTTGATCTCTATGGTAACCGGGTAGACGTGGCTAACGGCTTCTGTCTGTAAGCGCTCTCCACCCGTATTCCGGTAAGCAACGCACCTCCTGCGATGCGACTGGCTAGTATCAGCCAACCGTAACGCCTAGGGGGCGGGGCTTGTCAGAATGCACGTTTGGAGGGGGAAAAGTGCTTTCTGATATGACGGGGAGGTCTGTCCGGTTGCCATAGAGACCAGATAGCAGAACCCTTACCAGCATACGAGCTGAAGTTTGTTAGGCTCTATTCCTGTCTTTTTAAGGCAGACCCTGAGGTGACGTGATTATTTTTAATAAGGAGTGGCCACAAATCAATGTATTGGAGCACAAATTACGAGAAATGGTCTTGATATAGTAAATTGTGGCCTTATTATAGTCATTCGTGGCCTTGATAAAGTAAATTGTGGCCTCAAAATAGTAACTCATCTCCTTAATATAGTAATGTGATGTCTTGATATAGTAAATAGTGGCCTCAAAATATTAATTTGTGGCCTTAATATAGTAAATAGTGTCAATACATTAATTTGTGGCCTCAATATAGTATACTTTGGTCTCACTATAGTAATTTGTGGCCTCAATACAGTAATTTGTGGCCTCGAAAATATTAACTCGTGGCCTCAATGTAATAATTTATCGCCTCAAAATAGTAACTTGTGGCCTCAGTATAGCAATTTTTGGCCTCATCATAGTAATGTGTGGCCTTGATATAGCAAATAGTGGCATCAAAGTATTAATTTCTGGTTTCAATATAGTAGATTGTGGCCTGAATATAGTAATTTGTGGCCTCAAAATAATAACTTGTGGCCTTAATATAATAATTTGTGGCCTCTATATAGTAAATTGTGTACTCAGTTTAGCAAATTGTGGCCGTTATTTATCAGAATAGGAGCTGATGTTTATCAGTCTCTGTTCTCTTTTTTCTGGTCTAAAATGAACACTAAAGCTCTAAATCGAGAGGTGTGAGTGACAGTAAAGCAGTTCAGGAGTTTAACCAACACAACAGATGAAATTCACCCCTTACTGCATGAATTATGAAACCATTTCATGATTTTTCTTATTGAAAATGATGTGATACACCACAAATCTAAAACTACAATAAACAGCATAGCAGCCATTAATTATGTGTTTTTAGTGTCTTTAGAAAACAGAAAAAGGTATGAAAAGAATTATATTGATATTTATATTGATCGAAGGCAGTATTCAGTCTCTTCCACTGTACGTACTGTAGTCTGCATTTCCATTGTTGCCATATGGCAACAATTATATTTTATCATTGCGTGTAAAACCCATCAAGTCTAATCTGGGTTTATTAATGCAGAAGGAATTTTAACTTCCTGTAAACTGTGTTTTGTTCATGTTTTGAAGCTGTTGTGTGTAAATATTGAGTTATACACACTTTAAGAGCTTCAGATGACACATTTCACCACGTGTGGAAAAAAAAGAAATACCAGACTGAAACAGGAGGGCATACGATCAGAAAACGAGTGTATTTCACATACAAAAGCATATTATACATAAAATATACAACACATAAAGCCTTCAGTTTTACAAAATAATTGACAAAAAGACTTTTATACATATCTAAGTACATATATATAAATAAAGTAACTTGAGAAGAAATAAAGCACAAATACAAAAAGTACAGGATAAATGCAATATAAAAACAACACAAAAGTATATATACATATAAAATATACGGTAAAAGTTCTTTTTTCTTTTTATTTATTAAATATTCATAAAAATTACAACACATCACTACAGCACTAAATGAGTAGATTAACAGCAGCAAAATAATCTAAAATAGTACAGAAATACAGTAAAAATGAATGAATAAATCAAATAAATTAATAAATAAGAGAAATAAATAATAATAAATGTGTTATTATGAATGATCAACGTGTTATTATTATCAGCATGTGTGAGAGCCGTGCTGGAATGTATGAAAAAAAGAAAAAAGTAACATCAATGGGAGGCCGGCTTGAGTTTCTACTACCAGCCAATCGTAGCGCAGGAGGGGCGTGGCTTGACGGAAAACGGGTGGGGAAAAACACCACCACCAGCCTCTGTTAGTCTCTGATCGCGCTCGGTGCTGGATGGAGCTGCCGGACTGCACTGTCCGCTGCCTGGGCTGAGCTGGACGGGTTTCTAACCGGATTTAAGAGCGTGTAGGAGTGAGACGAGCAGCCGGGGGGAGATGGACCTGCTCGGCTTGGGGGCTGTGAAGCAGCTCGCGGAGGGCCTGGCCGGCCTGCCCATGTTTCCTTACTTCGACACGGCGCACTACATCGTGTCTGTGATGGCTTTACGGGAGCAGCCAGGTGAGCACAGCACAGCCCAGACACACCTGGAGGAACAGCAGCACTTCACTGCCACACAACATCTGGATTCCACAGTAAACAATAAGGCAGAGAGTGTGGAAAACAGGAAGGCATTAAACACCGTATACGTGGCTTATAATACACTTTAAAAAGTTCTTCAAGGGTTCCTTAGTAAAGAAAAAGGTTCTATATAGAACCACGAACGCTCACTTTGCATGATTACATCATTCTTCAGACTGATTAATATGAGTTGGAGAATGTGTTGTATATGGTTCTATATAGCACCAAAAGAGTTCTGCTAGTGTTTCGATGTCAAGCCTGTAACGATAGCAGAACACTTTTTGGTGCTACATAGAACCTTTTCAGAAATAATCTACATAGAACCATCTACAGCACGTTCTCCATCAATCTGAAGAACACTTTCACAATGCAAAGAACCCGTTAATCATGCAAAGGGTTCTTTAAATGTTTACGGTTCTACATAGAACCCTTTTCTTTACTAAGGAACTCTTGAAGAACCATAATTTTTCCGTATGTATTGTAACAAGCCTGACATCGTAACAACAGAAGAACCCTTTTCAAAAATGTTTCTATATAGAACCATCTACAGCACATTCTCCATCAAACAGGAGAACACTTTCACAATGCAAAGAACCCTTTAATCATGCATAGGGTTCTTTGAGTGTTCATGGTTCTACATAGAACCATTTTCTTTGCTAAAGAACCCTTGAAGAACCATCATTTTAGGTGTGCATGATACACACTTAAAAAGTTCAAGGGTTCTTTAGTAAAGCCAGCGGTTCTTTATTAGGATCATAAGTATTATATAGAACCGTTTGGTTCTTTGCAGGGTGAAATAGTTCTTCAGATTTATGGAGAATGTGTTGTATTTGGTTCTATAGCGCCAAAAAGGGTTCTGCTATTGTTACAAACTTGGCATTGTAGACCTATATACAACACATTCTCCATCAGTCTGAAGAACAATTTCACCATGCAAAAAACCAAATGGTTCTATATTGGTCCTGAATAGAACCATTGTCTTTACTGAAGAACCCTTGATGAACCATATTTTTAAGTGTGCACCATACTAAAACAGATGTGGAGATACTGTAATAGTGACTTCTGTCTGAGTTGGAAGTGCAAATATAGCACAGTGATGTAACATCAGTTGTGCAAACAGTGCAACAGTGCACTTTTAACCTGCCAGTGCACCAATCAGCCATGACATTGACCACCTCTTGTTTCTGCACTCATTATCCATTTTATCAGCTCCACTGGCCGCATAGTCTCACTCTGTAGTTCTACAGTTACAGACTGTAGTCCATCTGTTTCTCTGATACTTTGTTACCCTGTTCTTCAGTGGTCAGGACCCCCATGGACCCTCACAGAGCAGGTACTATTTGGGTGGTGGATCATTCTCAGCACTGCAGTAACACTGACGTGGTGGTGGTGTGTAAGTGAGTGTTGCGCTGGTACGAGTTAATCAGACACAGCAGTGCTGCTGGAGTTTTTAAACACTGTGTCCACTCACTGTCCACTCTATTAGACTCTCCTACCTTGTCGGTCCACCTTGTAGATGTAAAGTCAGAGACGATAGCTCATCTGCTGCTGCACAGTTTGTGTTGGTCATCCTCTGGTCCTTCATCAGTGGTCACAGGACGCTGCCCACAGGACGCTGTTGGCTGGATATTTTTGGTTGGTGGACTATTCTCAGTCCAGCAGCGACACTGAGGTGTTTAAAAACTCCAGCAGCACTGCTGTGTCTGATCCACTCAGACCAGCGCAACACACACTAACACACCACCACCACGTCAGTGTTACTGCAGTGCTGAGAATGATCCACCACCCAAATAGTACCTGCTCTGTGAGGGTCCATGGGGGTCCTAACCACTGAAGAACAGGGTAAAAGGGGGCTAACAAAGTATCAGAGAAACAGATGGACTACAGTCTGTAACTGTAGAACTACAGAGTGAAACTGGTCAGTGGAGCTGCTGTTCAGAGTTGGGTGGCATCCAACTCTGCTCACACCTCGCTTTGTATCTTCAGCACTGAATTTCACACCAAAAGACCCAAAAGATAAGACTTCGGTTCCTGTGCTGGTAGATGCTGGATGTCCTACAGCAGTTCTACAGGGGAACTCAGCACTCCAGGAGTTTGTCCTCCTCAACTTCTGGGAGCTTTTACTTTTACTTCTACTTACTTTACTGAGCTCATAAGAAGTAGTTCAGTAGATGCAGATGGTGCAGACCACTTCAGTTTATTTACGTGTGTTCTTCACAGCACATCGAGTGCTAGCAGGATTCCAGCGTGTCAGACTGGTTTCAAGGTCTTCCGGGTTTAACGTGTGCAAGCCCATAATAACCTGCCTCAGGAAATTATGCAAGAAACCCTAATCCTTTAGAATGGAGATTACTCACTGCCTGGTCTGCGCACAATACTGCACCTAATACCAGCTGCAGTGTAGAGCTGATTCTGTGTTATCAGTTCTGAAACAATTAAACAGGCTGTTTTTGTTACTGTGCCTTTAAGACTGATATATGTCAATGAGCTCTGTTCTGATTGGCTGCCATGTACTGTAAAAATGGACAGTATGGCCAAAAATGTATGTAATTCGACAGTCTCTGTATATTTTTTTCAAATAAAACATTTTAGATGCCTATTTTTGTAGGTTAACAGTTATTATTCTGGGATGCCCCTTCATTTTTTTATGAGAACCATAAGTATATATGGATATAAGTCAGTATTGCTTTCTAACATTAGCCCTGCAGACCCAGCAAACAGTGCTAAATGTTGTTCCACCCTGCCGTACCTGTCAAACCAGTTCTTAGAGGGTGCACACCTTTCCAGATGCTGTGTGCATGTTCTGACATCACATGACGGATCATGTGCTGTCCGGCAGAGCTGCACAGCCTTTGCAATACTAATGTCACAGATGGATGCAATATGTAAATGAGCCCTGGGCTGAGCCTTAGATGCTCCAGATGGGGTGTTTTGATGAATTAAGGCAACAATTGTCCATATTTTTATGAAGGTCAGTGACAGTGTCACAATATTGATTCAGCAATGTGTTTTTAGTATTGTGTAAGGCTTATAATGGCAATATACAGTGATAATCACTGTCATTTGGTCCGTATAGTATTGAATGATCTTCATGTTTTGGGTCTGTGCATTGTAAGGCCTTTATCTGTCCACTGACCAAAGCTGGAGCTTATCAGACATCAGGAGGAGAGAGAAACAGTATGTGCTTGGCAGGACAAAGAGAGTTCAGCTTTATCCACTTTTCACAGTAGCCACAAAATGCAGTTTACCCCTGTTTTGAACAAGGTCCCTCAGTTTTCCGCTGTGCATTTTTTCTTCAATAACTTCTACAGAATTGAAGGAATATATTTCAGTGGAAATGTGTTTACAAACAAGATTTCTGTCTTCATATGTAAGCCAAGTGTTTTTATTGTGATTAAATGCTATTTATGTGGCAGGTATGCATTGTTATTTGATATCGCTGCTGTCGGAACAAAACCTCGTATCTCCAAAATGGTAACTTTACAGGAGAAGGAAAAAACATGCTTTACTTTCAATGTAAGTCAATGGAACCAGACTTTTTTCCAAGTCATTTTGGACTGTTTCTTTTGGCCCATGCGTCATGCAATTTACACACAAAGGGCAACAGGCATTTTCAAATTATGTCAAAAACTGAAAAATGAGGTTTTGTCCCGACAGCAGCAATATATATATAGAAAGCTGCATTTTTGCTGCCCATTTAATCTTGCCCATCTTTCTGGAGAGGTGTAAATAGTTTTTCACAGCAGGGGGATGTCACTCTCCCATTTACACCACTCGTTGCTCACTAGCAGCTCAACACAGTCAGGTTTTACACACAAAGAGCCAACAGTGTCCTAGTTAATCTGATATGGAGTTAGGTGGTACAATGGTAATAATCATGATAGCGGCGCACAGAGCTACACACACCACAGAACACGTTTGATTTCAGTTTTCTGTGACTCCAACACCAGCCACTCGACTCTCAGCGCTCTCTGATATCCTCTAAATGGGCGTCATTTTATCTTCAGTTTGCTGGAAATAAGGCTGTGCTGTGCTGTGTGGCACGTTTGGCCTGCTAACTAAGCTATTATTAGCTTAGCCGAAATGCTACAGCTCCGGCGACTCGACCTCACTCCCTCAGATTTATCATCTAAACCTGTGTTAAACTTCAGTTCGTCAGAATAGAACATGTTCTTTAAAGAGCAGAGCTGTTATCATGCTAGCTAAGCTAACGCTAACCAGCTACTCTCTCCTAGTTAGCAGCACTGTTTAACATTCAGCAGTTGTTAGACAGATGGTTTGATGTTTATTGAATGGAGCTTTGAAAATTATGCAGTGTATTCAGTTATTTGTTTTTTTTCCTATTTTGAAAGAATGTTACAAATACTTTAACGTCACTTATGACATGCCCCCAAAACGGGTTAAACCTCACAAGTCCAGGGTTATTGGTGGAATTTTGCTATACTATTTAATTGCAGTAGCATAATAATGCTACGACCATGTAAGAACTGAGAAATGTCCGACTTCCGAGTAGGAAAAATCCGATCAACTCGTAATTTCCATGTTGCAATTTTGTGACATCACTTCAACTTGGTGGCGGCCATAAAACAAGAAATGTTAGCATGCTTTAAGATTGTAATGCAGACTTTTGAGTGTCTGTATGTTATTTGTGTATGACATTGCTAAATACAGGGGGATTCTTGGATAAGCCATTCTGTACAAGGTTTTCCCTCAGTCTGAGTGTTTTCATGTCATTCTTGGTGCCGTTCTTGGGTCTCGTTTAAAATAAATGAAAGCAACTATTTAACTCCAGTCTAAAAGCTTTTTAAGAGCTTTTTACTTCCCGACAGCAGCCAAGCAAGCACCAGCTTTGTCCATGTTTTTTCTGAACACTTTGAGGTGGGGAGTAGTTTGCAGTTGTCATGAATGTGGCTGAGCCATAAATACAAATATAAAATTAC